ATTTGTTAAAAAAATATTTACTTTCATTATAAATACATAGATTAGAATATATATCATTTGAAATAGGTGTGATGTGATAATATAACATTGTAGAGTTTTTTGGATACTCTAGGAGAGTTTTGCTCTTAATAATATTTATTTAATAATTAGATATAATATATACAACCGTAAATATATTACTTTTTCATTTTTCATAATTAGAAAAAGTAAATTATATTTTTAATACGTTGTGGTTATTCCAATAAAAAGAACATAAACGCTAAAAATTATTTATTTTATCCAAAAATATAATAGAATTTTTAAGTAAAATACAAGAATTTTAACAACTAAATCACATATTGGTAAATATATTAATTTGTAGTATACTTAACAATTAATTTTTATAATAAAAATTAGAGATAAAAATTCATACGTTTGACCCACATTAAAAATTTATGATTAACAAAGTATAGAATTTGTCTCAGTAGAAATTTATAAATTTAAAATATATACGAGATGAGTTTAAATTTAATAATTTATTAAATTCACATCCGTTCAGGTGTATATATAATTAATATATTTTAATTTTAATTTTTATTTGTACTTAAATTAATTAAATTTTAATTGATAAATATTTAATATTATGTGTTTATAATATTATTTTATATTTATTATTAAGTATTATATTTAATATTATTTTAAATTATATTTTATTTTGATTAATATTTAATATATTTTAATTGAAATTATTTAAATATTTTATAACATCTTTTATTATTAAATAAGCAGGTAATAAGTAGATGGCAACATGAACGAACAAACTTGTCAGTGCGCATAAAGAACGGAGACGACGAGAAGACTCCGGGAAGGTGAAATGAGGTTGTTAGTAGAGAGAAGACCTTTCGGAGAATTTTCATGGCAGTTGCATTTACTTCAGTGGAAAGACAGGTACGTTGTTCATTTTTTTTTTTTTGCTTAACGTAAGACACTGTAAGTAATTGCACTTACATTATGGGTTTGGCCGTTTTTGTGCGGGTTACGGAAGTCGATGAATGGGAAGACTCTGTCGACTCAGAAGATGGATGTCTTTCTTGTAGATAGGTTATTGATTGGTTTCCATTGTATCGTGGGAGAGAATTTAGTGATTTGTGATTTTGTTGGTAAATCATGGAGTTGGGTTGGTGATGCTTGATGTCAACGCGAATGAGTGTGATTTCTTTAGTTAGACATCGAATGAGAGCTGGTAAGCCGTTATTGGTGGTCTATACGGAGCTTGAATCTGTGTTTTAAGGGACGGCGAATTGTTGATGACAAATTTTCAATCTTCATTGCTTAGCCAATGCTATAATGACTGTTTGTTGTTTAGAAAGTATCCTGCTTCACTCTATGTAATATGAAGTTGTAACCATTTTTTCCCTCATGTCTTGATGTTGATTTGGTCCTTGAAAGGGGGGGATTGTTGAGGATCCTTTGTTTATGGAAGGAGTGCTTGGGAATTTTTCCTGTAACTGTCTTGTTAGCACAGTTAATTATTATGGGACAAAAATTCAGTGGCTTGATATCTCATAGTTGCAGTAAATTTTTCGTGTCAATTTCATTGGAATAGCTGGATTTGTCCATGTGAGCTTCTACAGCACTTTCAATAAATTATTAAGGGTTTTTATGGTGGAAGATTTTGAAAGGAGAGCTCTTACTGTGAGATATCCCAGACTGTTTCTTTGGAATTTTCAGGCTTAATTCATTTTATCTATTGTTTTGCAAGACTATTAATTTGCTTTTTGCTTGCTGGTCAATTACAGTGCATTGCCTTTCAGTTCAATGAAGCAATCATGTAGCTGGGGGCAATGTTTTTGGGTGAGTCTCTAGGGGAGAGAGAGGTGAGTTTCTAAAAATTGCAGTTGAGAACTGAATTGATTTTTGTACATGGCTGTCCGGTGTTTAACAGACTATGTTTCTGGAATTGGTTATGTTTTTTGGAGTTGTGATTCTATTCACCTTTTTTCCCTTCGTGAAATCTGATTGTCTGTCTTGTTTGATGCAATACAGTTTTTTGAGTTCAGTGCTAAGTGTTATTCCTAGTTCAATTCTAAGTTCTATAATTTTATTATTTTTGGTTTTTTCTAGTTCAAGTAAGACTTATTTTAGTTCTCCAGTTTCCGTAGGATTTTCTATTTCTCAATTTCTAGTTAGATTCTTTAAAGTTTTACTTGGATCGGAGTAATTACCTTGCGCTGAGGAGCCTTACAATGAATGGGTTTTTCATAGTTAAGTCATTTTATAGGCAGTTGTTCAAGCATGATGGTAACAGCTGTACTCTTCCATTCAAACAGATTTGGAAGGCAAGAGCTTCACCCTGAGTTTCTTTTTTTTTTTTTTTTGCATGAGAGGTTAACAGGGAATGTATTTTGACAATTGATAAATTAAGGAGACGGGCAAGGTTTTGGAATGCCTGTTATTTTTGCAAGAGGGTGGAGGAGACCTGTAACCATGTTCTGCTTTGGTGTCCAGTAGTCTACCAACTCTGGACCATGGTCTATACCTTATTAGGCATCAGTTTGGTGATGACAGATTCAATGAGAGATGAAATTTGGACGTAGAATTGTATGAGTGGAATGAGGAAACAAACGGAGCAAATTCCACGAACAATCTTTTCGGTTGTATGAAAGGAGAGGAACAAGAGGGTGTTTGATGGGGTTGATGAGGTAGATGATTTTGATTTACCATCTTTTGGTTCATGATATAGATGATGCTTTATAAGATTCATCTTCTTGCTGGTATGGATATTTCCAATACTTTCAATGTTTATGATATTCTTGGGTACTATCCTCCTGATGTGTTTTCTTTACAAAATCATACAACTTTGGAACAAATTTTCTTAGAAAGGAGGGGATTGATGCACCATACTTTTCCTAGTTCAGTTCTAAGTGTTATTCCTAGTTCAATTCTAAGTGTTCTTATGTTATTATTTTTGGTCTTTCCTAGATCAAGTCTTAAGATTTATTGTAGTTTTCTAGTTTCTTTAGTATTTTCTATTGCTAGTTAGATTCTTAGTTTCTTAGAATTTCCTATTCCTACTTGGGTTCTTGTTATAAGCCTTATAAAAGGGCTTATTTGTAACAGTCTTAAATATAATTTAATACAATTGAATATCATTCTTTAAATTTTTAGCCTTTTTTGGGAGTAATCAAAGTACTCTACGTTTGATCTTTTCAAACAAAGCTTCCACTGCACCATCATTTCTGGCTAAAAGCAGTGTTTCTGTAAACAGTGAGCACTTAGAAAAGGATGAATACTTAATTCCAAAACAGTATGTATCTAAAAAATTATTAAAGAAAATTAAAAAATTAAATAAAACAAACTAAAAGCAAAATAAATAAGACTTCGAATGACTGCATCTGCTAGGTTGACTACCCCTAATCAAGAGTTTGAATTTGTTCACTGCAATAAAAGTTGCATAGTGCTTTTTAGCGGCTAAGGTTTAACCAATGCACTAAGTTTTTGATAGCTACGGTAGAACTATCGAAGTACACTCTCAATTACCTAAGTAGAATCTCTTTACATTTTCAATTGCTTAAGCAGAGTAAACTCATATTTTTTCAACAACTTTGATAGAAACAACTGCCTACATTTTCAATCCTTTAAGTAGAATCAACTTTCTACTCTTTGCCAAGACTAAAACAGTATATCTTCAATTTGTTTAGGCACAATAACTTTTCCTAAGTCACACAACCCAGTAATTAAAAAGAGAAAAATGAACGTCTTATAGGGTTGAACAATTTTAGCTCATAATCATATAACGATATTTCCATTCTTTTTTTCTCTCTTGTTGCTCTAGCTTGCCACCGCTCTTTAAAGTGGTAGAGCAGCTCCTGAAAATGAAGGCACCAATAAATTGCTCCATTGGTTAAGCCTTTGATATTGAAATTGCTGCTGATACCTCAAGATAAGATAATTTCCTTCAAGGTCCTCTCCATCATTAATCTTTCTGTTTTTTTAGGTACCATCATTAATCTTTCTTTATGAATGTACGAAGACCATGTCAAACTTTTTCACGTCTTCCAATGACTTTCTCAGCAGGAAAAACATTAATTCAATTTGTCCAAAATGCAATAAAATCAATTCTTTCCAAAATCATTTAAATGATAAAGAGAATTTCCACACGAGTTCCCAATGTCTAGTTTAAGCTTGGCAAGATATCTTCATTCCATCAATTATGTAAACAAAGCAAGGGAATTCAATTTCAGTTATAACAATTTATTTCTAATATTGGTTTCAATGGCTACTTTAATTGGACCTCAAAATATATTAGAAGCAGATTTCTAAGTTTGGCTTATTAAAGATTACAAAGAAAGAAACGTTACCAAGATTGTGCCACACCTGTAACAACTTTAGCCAATTTCTGAATGTACAAACTCTATTAATCATCAATTTAACCAATTTATTTTTTATTTCATTTAAAACATTCCATATTAATTATCATTCTAATAATTACTCTTAATAATCCTTATTCAATTTGATTTTCTGTAGAAAGATTTTTCATTATCAAAATATAAAAAAAAGGTTGCCCAATTTTTCCATTTTTTATGATGATAAAGACAAAAATAGAATCGAACATGTTTAATTGCATATGGATACCTTACCAGTTCTTGGGATGAAGCCCCTACCGCTAGACTATTGCTCTTAGTTAAAGTGACCTTTATTTTCTTTAAACAAGCAGCTAGAACTCCGTGCGGATTATGTGTTGCAGGTGGCACAGGGGGATTCATAGTGCACGTCATACATTAGCGTGATGGGCTTGTGATTGTACCAATTTGATGCTGATACATGACCGGTGGTCAATAAGGTGATCCCTGGCCTCCGTAAGGCCAATAATCTGCCCCTTCCCCCATCTTGTGACATCCAAGGGACTCAAAAATACTTTGATACCAGTTCCTGAGATCAATCTCTATCAGTAGACATTTGATGTGAACTTTATTTCTTTTAAGAAACAGTTAAGAGCCATGCGTCTATAACATGCTCTAGACGGAGCTGAGGGGCTTTGCAGTGCACATGTGATACACTGGCAGGATGAGCTGT